AATTTTTGTGACCTGAAATTGTCTTTTGAAACCTACATTGAGTTATAGATATTTTTATAGTGCTTGGGTTTTTTGTTTTTTTTTTGTTTGTTTATTTGTCATATTACCAATTCTCATTTCTATAATTTCCATAATCGTCAATTAGATATTTGTCAAAAAAAAAATAGAGTTGGCATGCTTTTTTTTTATAGTTCATATTTCTTGTAAGCATATAGTTTGTTGAAAAAAAAAACTAATGCCTATTCCTATTCGGAAAGTATACGTTTGGTGTCAAAGAATTTAGAGAAGAAGTTTTGTATATAAAAAAGAATAGAATATGAGTTCACCATCATGAAAAGGATAATCTGCCCAACAGCTAAGTTCTGGTTTTTTTAGAAACTCTAGTTTGTTTATATAAATGCATGTTTAAATAGCACCAAGTGTAAACTAGCTAAATTGGGTATTTATAAGGAATATATGTACTGTATATATATTTATATTCAAACTTTCTTTATATCAATATCAGGTGAGTAAGCCAGGGGCCTTTATCTAAAACTTGACATAACTTTTATTCTATTTGAACGAGGAATTTTATTGTGCTCAATTCAGGAGAGCAGTTAAAAGAAATAGAAATCAAACAATGCTAGGCTGCTTGTATTTAAAAGTATAATAAATAACAATTTGGGTGAGTTACAATGAGAAAGAGATCAGAAGTTATAATATATGTAATAAATATATAGTTTAAAAGTATAATAAATAGTTTGAGTAATAAATAACGTTCTGATTATCATTGTAATAAATACGTAATTTAAAAGTATAATAAATAGTAGTAATAAATAATGTTCTAATTATCATTGCAAACTTAATTATTTAAAAACTGATAATATATATAAAACTACATACATACAATAAAAAGTATTATATCAATTAAATATAAAGCTCTTAAATAGCTTTGCCGATTTCATTTTGTTCATGTAGTATAAATATTGTAATTTTTGTATTTGTAATATTTTTTGTAAAGTAAATTATTTTAGCATTTAAGTTTGCAATGCTAGTTCTAATATATTATCCCTTAATCTGTAAGTCATTTCCAGACAAATTTGCCTGAAAAATTTTTATTATTTATACTATTATATAAAATTACTCAAACCTATATATTATAACTAAAATTTTTTATTTAAAGTTTGTAAAAGTTATAAAAATCAAAATATAAAATTTCCAGACAAATTTGCCTAGAAAACAGCTACGCAAATTAATTGACAAAAGTAACGCAAATGGTTATATAAAAATAACCCAGGATTTTTTTTTCAAATTTCAAGATATCTCAAGATCCAGTGATCAGAATTTAGTGATTTTAATGTTATTCGAATCGTCTCAATGAGTTGGATCGAATGGCATAAAAATCATTAAATTCTGATTGCTATATCACAAGATAATGCAATTTAAATGATTTTTATCTAAGCTCAACGATCTTGATACCTAGTGATCAGAATTTGATGATTTGGTCTATTCGATTCGCCTCGATGAGACGGTTCGAATGGTATCAGAATCATTAAATTCTGATCACTAGATCACGAGATATTTGCGGCGCAGTTTTTTATAAGAATTCTTGTAAAAAACTGCGCCGCAAATCATTTTTTGCAAATATCTCGTGATCTAGTGGTCAGAATTTAACGATTCTGATACCATTCAAACCATCTCATCGAGGCGAATCGAATGGTACCAAATTATCAAATTCTGATCACTAGGTATCAAGATCATTGAGCTTAGATAAAAATCATTTAAATTGTATTATTTTGTGATATAGCAATCAGAATTTAACAATTTTTATGCCATTCGATCTGACTTATTGAGACGATTCGAACGGTATCAAAATTGCTAAACTTTGATTATCAGAACTTGAGATATTATAAAATTTGTAAAAAAAATTTTTTAATTATTTTTAGGCATAGATCTTAACCATCTGTGTTAATTTTGTCAATTAAATCTATGTAATTGTTTTCTAGGCAAATTTGTCTAGAAAATTTAAACTGTTTTAATTTGAAAAAATTATATATTAGAGGGCTTTTATTTATTATAAACTGGTGCTATAAAAATATTTATCATGTGATTTGAAAATTCCAGGCAAATTTGCCTAGAAAACAGTTTAAGAGATAACTCCGGAGTATAACCCATTTTATATTAATAGCATTACTCCAGAGTATTTACTTCGATTAATAGTATCTTAATAATCCGGGTGGTGTAATGTCTAAACCACACCGGCATAGAGTAGAGTATACTTTGGAGTTACTTTGGAGTACATTACTCCATTAACATCCCTAAGTCGCCACACTGCTTTAAAGTTAGAGTTAGTATTTTTTTATATTAAATAATCTTATAATATTTTTATATTTCTATCTATATTAAATAAGATTCATATTATTTATCAAAACTGATATTTTATAGATATTGAATTTTTTAAGTATTAGTTATCAAAAATAGCAAATTATTAGATTTTAATTATAAAATAAATATAGTAAATTAATCTTATAGAGTGTTAGAGTAGGTGTGTGTTACAGAAATAGTGCCAGAGGGTTTAAATAGATATCCCCTATAGTCAGGGTACAGGTACGGTAGCTAGTGTGAAACTTAGGGCAGACTACTTAAATAGGTAACTAAAAGTTATATGTATTGCTAGTCATACTCTCATTAGTAATAATTAGAGAGTTTAAATAGATAATCTCCTAGTTAGATTGCAGGTATGGTGGCTAGTATAGAACTCAGGCAGACTACTTAAATTAAGTACCAAAAGTACATGTGTGGCTAGTTGTATCCTTGTGAATTTGATGTAATATATCATAACTACCTAAATAAAGCTATGTGCCAGAGGTCTAAGTGATTATCTTAATATTTAAAAAAAAATAAAAAAATAAAAAAAAAATAATATAATAAATCAGTTTTATATCAGTTATAACAGAGAACTCTTCCTGTCGATCACTGTGACCAAAACTGGAGCAAAAAAAAACTGAAAAATAAACATTCTTTGCACTAAGATAATAACAAAAACATTATTAAGAAAAAAGATAGAGTAAAGAAAATTAACTATAGTTACTTAGAGCAACTTTTTTCTTTAAAAACGTTGGCTCTCTTCATATACAAAAACAGTTTTTGGGAAAATTTTTTTTTTTATTTTTTTCTTCTAAAAAATTTGTGGAATTCGAAGATTTGCTATAACTCTGTCGTGCAGATTACTAAACAACAACAAAACAACAAACAAAACAAAGCAATATATCATATATATTAACTATATAAGTAAACAAAACAGTAATAGATAAACAATTAACAAAACAAACAAACATGCAAAAACATTATATATAACAAACAAACAAACAATAACAAACCAAGCTGACAAATAACAAACAAACAAATGCCAAAATGCCAGCATTAGAAAAATATAAGAATTTTTTTAATCGAATGTTGAAGAAAAAGTTGTACTATATGATAAGCAAAGCTCAACTATATTAAAGAAAAATAGCAGAATTGCAAATTACTTAGATACAGATGATGTTCACCTAATAGCAATTATATGCAATGTTCTGCATATCTATAATTGAGCACAATATAAGAAAACAAGAGAATTGGAGTTGACTCAAGAAGAAAGAATCCTAATAGATAAGAATATAAAACTTAATAATAGACAAAATAACAATATTATATCTAAAGTAGAAGCATTTATGATGGAGATAACTCCAGAACAACAAATTACAAAAGTTGAATTATCTCCTATAGAAATTACATTAATATATGCAAGTAATCGAACTAAAGATAACAAGAGTATAATAAGTACTAATTTAACCTTGATGGATTTCACTTATATGCAGATAGACAAGACATTGAACAAAGAAATTACTATAATAAAGTCTAAAGAGTTTAATTTACTATGCAAAAGAAGTTTATCAGAAAAAGATAGTGCTAGTAGCTCAGAAACAAACATGCATAATTTGATAAATCAAAATTATTAGAAAATGAATGTGATGTATTAGGCTATGGTCTTAAAAATCAAATTACCAGAAAAATAATCAAGAATGACCAAATAGAAAAAAAGAAAAAATAACAAAAAACCCAAGCACTATAAAAATATCTATAACTCAATGTAGGTTTCAAAAGACAATTTCAGGTCACAAAAATTGACATTACAATACCTTTTCACAATTTGGGATCTTCCAAAAGAGATGAAGGTAGAAGAAATTATAAAATTTCTTAGCTACTTTGGTATAGCATCTATTCTTGCATAGCAACAAAATTTCAAGACCAAGGCAGCCTATATAAAAATTTTAACAAATATAAAAAAGAGAAAAAATTCATTAAAAGACAATTGGTTAATATATTTAAATTATGATAAAACTTATAAAACAACACTAGGTAGATTTGATAGTATCATGTCTGAAAACAGAAACAAATACAAAAGTACAATTTATAATGTGCCTAAAACAGCATTAGATAGTCTGCTGCTATAACAATTAAGGAAATACAATATACAAGTAATGCATACTTTAAATAACCATAATAGAAATCGAAGTAGAAGAGCTCACATCTATTTTAAGTCAGATAAAGATCACAAAAAACAAGCTTGTACTACTTTAATACAAAGCTCGAATGGTAGCCAAACCCAAATATATCTGAAAACAACAATCTTCAGAGTGAATGACAATATTACAAGAAAGCCAATTTGTATAATAATAATAAAGAGAAAAGATATCTAAACAAAGCTAAGATATATAGTGAACAAGGTCTAGACAAAAAACCAAGATGTTTAAGTATTATTAAAAAACCAAATAGGCACTATGTGGAAAATAAAGAAAACAAGCCTAGCACAAATACCAATTTTTATTCTATTGCAAAAATATATGAAAAAGTTTCTTTTAAGAATAGAAACAAGAAAGCAGAAGGGAGTAATTCATATAAAACAGTTAAAACAAGCTTAGCCAATTAAAAAACACCAATATCTCAGGATTATATTACTGATAATGTAAATCTTGTAATACAATCTTCATTATGTAAGGATTTTAAAACTAGAAAAAAAGGCAAAGAAAAGGCTAAGCCACAACTAGATAATATTATACAATATAAGGCTTTGGCTGAGATTCTCAAAAAAGCTTACAAAAATCGAAAAAGATTATGAATTAATCCTTTTAACAGGAGCATTAGCTCCCAATCACTTCTAAAAGTTGCTATAGGCATCTATCAAGCTAAAAGCAGGTCTAGTCTCTTGCAAAATAATATTAAAGATAAGAAAATAAATAAAAAACAAGAAGAGCTAAAAAAAACAATATTGGAACAAATTAAAGAAGATCATTATCTATCATGTAAAATAGCATGTCATAATATTAATAGACTTAAGAGCAATCTACAAAAGTTTGATTTACTAATAGACTGGGTAATAGAAAATATATATAATATAGTGGGCATAGTTAAAACAAATATTTCAAAAAAAGAGAGATACTTTTTCAGAAAGCTATGTAAAGAATATTATATAGTCTGGTCAAACTTATACTAAGAAAAAAAAAAGGAATTAGGAGTAGGCTTCATAGTATCAGAAAGATGGAAAAAACATTTAGGTTTTATTCAAAAATTTGATAAATATAGCATGGCAGTAAGCTTTTTTTTTAAACAACTAGAATTAGTTATCATAGTTGTATATACACCACTTAATAACAATAATAAAAAGCAGAGTATAAAGAGAAACATTATAGAAAAATTCATAAAGAGATCCCCCAGCTTACATTTCATTATCATGGGAGATTTTAATACAATTATAGATCAAGATCTCAACAGAACTTTGCCAATATATATAAAAAAGCCAAAAATGGATCTATTACTTAAGTGGCTAATGAAACAAAACTTTGTAGACACTTTTTAAGCATTAAACCTATCGGTATTAGAGTTCATATAGTCAAATTTATATACAAAAACACGAATTGACCAGATTTGGGTATCAGAAATATTAGTATATAGCAAGTAGCCAATATTATAGATATGTTTTTCTATATAGAAAGTGATCATAGCAGTATAGACATAACATTAGATCTTAGCTTGCATATTACTCAGACTAGCTCAGCTAATATCAAGAGAAAACATAGAAAAAAAACAATTTTTCTATATAATAAGACAAGTGAAGAAAACTGGATCAAAAACAAGGAAATATCTTTTCAAAAATTATCTATAGTAGCAAAAGATAAAATGCCAAATACTGATATCCTAAGTGAATATTGGAGCATAATAAAAAGAAGCATTATAGAAGCAGCGAACAAAACTATTCTAAAAAAGAAAATCTTCAATATAGAATATATAAAGAAACAAGAAGTTAAATGATCTAAACTATCTAAAGCAGTAGTAATACTCAGTAGATGGCTATGAAAAATTAAAAGAAAAGTAAATACAATGGTAGACCCTGATGAAAAAAAAACTTTCAACTGAGAAATAAGAGAAATCAATAGCGAATTTCAAACAAATATTCAAGAAGTTATTAACAAATGGGCTATTAATTTACTAATAGATCTCAAAGGTTGGTGGAAGATACTTAAAGAAAAAAACCAAAGAGAAATAGTAGTAGCAACAAGAGAGAAAATAAATGAAAAGATTAGTACTAAATGTGAAATGATAAGCAAAGCCCAAGGAAAAATAATAGCAAGTCTCTTAAATAAGCTCTTGAAGAAAATTAAGCTAGAAAAGCTAGTTATTAAGAAGAGCCTCTATAATACTCTAATCTATGATGAAGAACAGGTATTGAAAAAAATACATAAGCACTTTTAAGCATAGTTTAGACAAAGAAATGTATTAAATACTATAGAGAGTGAAGTATGGAAAGAGATTTACGAACCTCAAAAGCAAATATATGAAGACTGGTATGAAGATCTAGGAAGAGAAGTTACAAGTGAAGAGTGGACAGATATGTTAGATAGTCTTAAAAAAAAATTGGCACCAGGTCTTTTAAAGATCTCCTATATTCTAATTAAGGTAGCAAGCAACTATGCACAGCAGTTATTTAGAAGCTTGGTATTAGCATGTATAGTTACAGGGACTATGCCAAAAAAAATAGAAAGTTGCAATAATCTACTTAATTTTGAAAGATTGTGACTAGAATTATTTATTGATAAATATATAACCAATAGCACTACTAGAGTCCTTTAGGAAATATATAACAAGAATATATACAAAAAGGCTTATATATGTTTTAACTAAAAGAAATATTCTCAAAGGGCCAAATTTTGCAGATCTCCCAGATGACTTAACAGAAAGTTCTATATATGTATTAAACTCTATAATAGAAGATATACACTTAAAGAAAAATAAGCTATGGATTTTGCTACAAGATATGCAGAAGGTCTTTAACTCAGTATCATTAAAATGCTAAAGCTAGCTTTGAAGCAACTCAGAATTTCTCCCAAAAACTTGGAATTTATCTTGCAACTTTTTGATAATCGAGAAGCAAGTATAATAACAGATTATAGAAATACTAGCATATTTATAGTACCTAACAGTATTGACTAAGGAGAGGTTATATCTCTAATTTTGTGAAGAATTTTTTATAATACTCTAATTGAAAGAGTACAAAGTGATCCAAATCTAGGATATATAATTAAAACAGAAACATTATCTGAGACAAGTACAGAACAAATATATAATCAAAGTTAGTGACAAGCAGTATTGGCATACGCAAATAACACAACCTGGATTGTGAAAGACAAGGCCCAAATGGAAAAAATTATACAGATTGCAGAGAAATTCTTCCAAATAATCAATATTCAAATAAATAGTAGTAAATCCAAGTTGGTAATATTTAACTCAAAATTAAATAAGCTTTTAAGAGTACTTAAATTTGGTGAAGAAGAGATTAGAAAAAAAAACGAAAATCAGATAAGCAGATTTCTAGGAGTTTGGATAAATAATAGGCTTAAAAACTCATATATTAAAGCAAAAGCAAAAAGGATTATTAGAAAAACAGTTCTAAATCTCGCTCTAAAAAAACTAACACTAAGTCAATTATCATATTTTAACAATACTTGTATAATTCCTAAGCTTTGCAATATATTACAAGTTACTCAATTATCAAAAGAGTCACTAAAAGATATTCACAGGCCAATACTGAAATTAATTAAAAATAAAATGGAGTTGCAAATCTCAGCCAAAAACTTTAAGTAGGCTAAGGGTTTGTTTGGTAAATAATTCTTCTTCAAGTACTTGCCAATTTCCCAAGCTCTTGTGCTTAAGTATGAATGTTTGAATAGTGTAGATGTGATACTAGTAACAACAAAGATAAATATCAAAAGCCTATAAAAACACAATCTTTCGTGCTTAACACTTCTGTGTATATCAGAGCTTGATTTGGTTTTCAATCTTCCAGAAGATTTGGTACAAATAAAACTACCTGGCCAATCACTTAATTTCCTATTAAACCAATAGTTTAATACAAAAATGGCAAAAGCTCTCAAGAATCTCAATTTATACATAACATGTCAATTAATTAATAAGAAGGAAACAAGCTTATTTCTTGGTTACAACTTAAGCTATGAAGAAAAAGATTGAGAAAAGGCAGGAAACCAAAATAGTTCCATTATTTTAAAACATTACTTCTTAAGAATATGCAAAGTAGATATGTTAAAAAAGAATTCTGCTTAGAAAACAACCAAGTTTGGTTAATTAGTTATAAGCTTCTAGGCCCAACAAGTAATAAAAGAAAGAAAGAATAGTTGTATATAAATAGTAAAGCAATAACAGATAAGGGCAATGTAGTCAAGATAATCTCCAAAAAGAAAAAAAAGCATACTGGGAGAGCACTGGCAAATAAACTCATAGCAAAAGCCAGACCAAATAGAAATAGTACAATGCCTAGGTTGTGAATTGGATACAAGTTTGAAGGAAAATATATGTTTATACTATGTTAAAAGGAAAAATATTATAGGAGTATTACTACAAGGATATCAAAAAGGAAATACAAAAATAGTAGATGTTAATAAATCAAGAATCACAAAGATAGCAAAATCATCATTAGAGATTATCAGTAGTCATGAATAACACTCTCTTGATATAATACAATTAGAGCCACTAGAAGTAGAATTAATTAAAAACCAAAATTTTAAAAATACACTTAGTGAATATCTACAAAGTAAACTTAATGAAAATATCTAAAGAGATAGTAAAGCTCTGATATACTATACAGATAGCTTTTTAGCTATAAGTAAAGATCCAATACAAACCACCAAGATGGGCCTAGAATGAGTGCAAATAAATAACAATAAGATTACACAACTTGATAAAGGCTTTGCAAAAATCAAGCATTGGCTATTCTTCACATGTTCTAAATTAGCTACGATATAGATAGTGCTTCTTTTAGTTTTAAAAAATGTTAAAGTAATAGTATGCTTAGATAGTGCAACAGCAATCACAGCTATTAAGGGAAAAGATGAGAATTTGGCATATAGTAAATTTATTAAAACAAAAAATTTTAGTATTTTAGATAGAATTAAGAGTTTAGTTAGTATTAAAAAATATAGAGTTAGAATTGGTTAAGGTAATAAATTACTCAGAGAACAAATGGAATAGAAAAGCAGACTTTTTGGCAAAAAAGAGCCTTACAGCAGATGATGATCTAGAAGTTACAACAATATCATGCCTTAACTTCAGCACAATACTAAAATAGAAAATGTATACAATCGAGACTTTAGCAAGATCCTTTTTAAATTTAATTCAAAATGCAATTACAAGTGCAGAATTGAGGTGTTTAAAAACAATTAAAAAGGTGGAACTGGAGTTTCAAAACTGCAAATATAGTTGGGCTCTTCTTTGAAAAAAATTGGCAAGCAAAATAGAATAAGATATGACTCTTTGAATAAGAGTAAAAAACTTTGCACAATTATTAAGAGCCTTTAAGGAAAACTTCCAGTTTTTAAAACTCTAGCAGCACGATATCCAAATCTCTATCCAGATGCAATGTGCAAACTTTGTAATAGTAGAAAAGAGAAATTACAAAAATATTTAGCTTGTTGTAGCACTTACAAAGATAAATAGAAGCTAATTGAAGAAAGTATAATGAAAATCTTGTGTGAAGAAATCAATTCTGAATGAGAAAATGAAGCGATTACAGAAAAGCAAGTATATGAAGTCCTATTTGGGTATTTAGAA